TACTCCATGAAGACCAATCGATGTTTGGAAAGTTAAAATCTCCCAAAATAAGGAGATGTGAAAATTTGAGGTCACAGACTTTGCCTACTAGTTCATTCAATGCCTTCATATCGAGTTCCGATGAAGATGGGCTTTTGTAAATACATCCTATTAATAATTTGTCATTTCCATCCATGTTGATCTTTATCCAGGTACATTCACTAAAGTCAGAGTCCAAGTGTATTTCAACAGCATTCAGGTTTTTCTTTGCGTAAATTATAGTTCCACGTTTTGCTCCTGTAGGAAAATTTCCAGGAAATAGTTCATAGTCCGACAAATCCAGTTCTGCTTTGTTGACAGAATATCTCATGTTTTTAGGTAAAACTTCAGTCACTGAAATAATATCTGGTAATTCACTTACTGTTAGGAACCTATTCTTGAATTCGTCCAACTTGTTTAAAATACCATCGGCATTTGTATAAATACACTTCAGATTTTCCCTTGTCCCTTTAAAATCTTGACCAACGGGTCTTTTTAACGTATTTACACAGCTATTTACATTAGCATTTACTTTGTCTTTTAGTCTCTCTGCTTTATTCTGATTTTCACAATCTTTCTCTCCCATGGTGGACCTTTTACGATGAACTTCACTTTCCCCGATTTTTCCTTTTCGTTTAAAGCTTTTGCTTCCAGCACCTTTTCCCTGTTCTAGTCCCTCTCAGCTTTTGACATGTCATGTGTAACACTCAGTTTTCTAAGCCTACTTTGCGCTGGGATATTTTGTAGCTTCGACAGATTTCTCATGACGTGTTGTTTGCTCTCAACATTCATCAATGTTACCTTGACTGGTCTTGCTAAGAATGTTACCCTGATAACTCACTATCCTCTGGTGTCTTCTTTTTCCCATGACGAACCACATTCTTTATACTGTCTGGATCTACTTCAATGGCCTTGAATAAATCAATCAATACATTTGTATCAAATTCTTTTCTTTCAAAAGCTTCTTTCCCCTCAGACTCCTCTATGCCATATATGATAAGGTTTTTTTTCTCTCAATGCACTGTCTCTTAGCTCAGTAACCTTACTATTTATTGACTCCTCGATGGCTTCACTACTTTTGCTTGTCCTTTCTGTATGTTCCTGGGAAGATAAAGCTTCAGCAATCATGCTCTCCACTTTAGAAACGCTGGGTTTCTCCTGCATATCTGTCTCTATTTTCATCATTCGATCCTCCATAATTTTGAAAATGTCTTGCATCTTGCTTCAATTTCTTGATCTACCCGTAAATTTTTCAACACTTTCGTTACACAATTCGGAGAGAACCAGTGCAGCGCTGGGTTGTTAAAGCTGCCATACCCCTTATCAGAGAGTTTCAGACACGTAGTGCAATAATATTTGTTACAGTACTCACATTGTACCACTTTGTCATCATCTCTCATGAATATCTGTGTGCACACTTCACATTTCCAGTTTTCCTTTCCTTTCTTAGATCCTTTACCTTTATTTGCTGATGAGGAAGATGATCTTTGTTTCTTTACTTCTTCTGCATCGTCTTTATTTGTGTTATTTGGCATTTTCTATTTATAAATTTTGCGCCAAAATGTCACAAAGGATTTCCTTAACTCATTTGACGTACCTCTAAAAAAATTTCCAAGGATGGTGGCTGTGAGTTATATACTCAATTTAGATGTTCCCTAATCACAACACACATCTAATTTATACTCTAAACCACTGCAAATTCACTAAATAAGGTCTTTTAATTCTTTTTGCGCGTCCATTCTACCGGAACCGGAAGTCCCATGTCCCGGAGCCGGAAGTCCCATACCTTCAAGGATAAAAATGGCAATAAAGTTGATTTGGCATTTAAAAGCTCTAAAAATAAAACATCAGGTGTCCAGTGTGTTGGGAGATAATTAACAGTTGTCTCACCTAGTATTTAGCTTAAACTGCTATGTGCTGCTGGTGCAATTTATCTGTCCGGACGATATTCAATTAGCCCTGTCATGGTAAAAATGTGCAACTACCATTAAATCCCGTTTAAAGTAAAATCCCATGATAAATCTTAGTAAAACATATTCAAACATTAATTCTTTGGATATTCACAAGCAATTATAACATCGAATTGCATAACAAAATACAACTTGCTCAAATACGAAACTCTGGCTAATACAAATATAAGATGTCGGCGGATGTAAACAACTTCCATGACTCCAACAATCGTGTGCAATTATGGCAATCGCCAATGTCAAGCGCTTATTTGACTCATAAATAATCAAGTAAAATACAGCAACATGCAAATATATTCTGAAGGTATGCACATGAATTCATAAAATATAGGATTTCCTGTATAAATCCAAACAACAAGTATGTCAAATGTGCTAAAAATAGACAATAAATCGTTGAGTAAAAAATCAAAGGACTGAAATGTAGTAGTGTAGTTCATGCATAATAAAATCCACCCAGATAATATTCCCAATAAATGTTGACACTATTAAATCGTAAAAAAATAAACTAATTAATTGAATTTTACCCCAGGCCATCACACTTCCCTCAACCGAAACTCTTAATTCTCCTGAATTATCCTGAATATAAGAATTTCTGCACAATATAGGAAAACACACATATAAATTTTTAATATGTGTCTGTACTAATAGTTAATAAATGTTAATTTTCTTTCTGATTTAGTCACTTTAACTTAGAGGAATTCCAGCATTGTCAATAATCTACACTTGTAGGTGAAATCGTCACGTCTCTTCCACTGGCTGCTTCCACACTCCAGGAAGTCCACCACTATTCCATCCTCCTTTCTCAGCAAGTACATGTGTACCATGCAGCCATGTCCCCAAGGCACCTGCCAGGACATACTCGACTCTGAAGATGGGGCACATTCAACTTCCCTGGAGACGAAGTAAGCGCTTTAGGCAAGGCCAAATATTAAATCCATCCAAGAGGCCGGAATGCCTCATGCCACATCCATCTGTCTGGCTTCTCCCTAGAGTGAGGGCTGCAAATTCCACCTGTGGAAATGGACCTGATTCCTTTGGTTGGCATGGCACAGAAACATTTCTGGTGGAAGTAGCATACATCCCTGGGCCAGGATGTGTCCAGGCTCTAGTGGCTAGTGGACCTATGGTTGGAGGGGAGAAAGTGTTAGGAGTGGACATGGTGCAGGTCTAGATATGGTGTGTGGAAATGTTGCGGTGTTGGAGGTCCATGGGATGGTCGGGGCTGTCGAAAAGATGGCAGGAGTTGAGGGAACCTCTGGAACATGGGGTAGTGAGGCGGTATGGCAGGAGGACTGTGTTATCAATGGATGTACAGGCTTTGGAAGTTTTTTCGTCTATCAAAGGATTTGGCTAGGTACAAGAGTTGTGGACTGCAGAAATGATTATGATTGATGAGTGGAGGATCTGAGATTCTATACAGGGAAGGATTTGATGTCACAACAGCTAAGTATTAATAGATAACAAGAACAACTACAGCAATCAACTTACATTTATATTCGTTGAAATATCTGGATGCAGGTAAACTTAAATCATCAACTGGTTACACCTGTGAGGTGCACTGGCCAGGTACATCTCAGTGCCTACCTCTGGTAAGGGCCATAGATTGCACGCGTCCATCACCTCCCTACATCAGAGGCGTGGGCCATAGATGGTGCACCATCCATCCCCTCCCTCCACCTACTGATGCGGGCCATAGACCGTGCACATCCGTACCTCCCTCCACCAGCACCAAAATACAAAAATAAAAAAAATATATCTGCATCCAGTATCAATCATAGGTTAAATCTTCCACTCAAGTCTAATTTCGGCTTTGGCTTGGTACAGTGGTTTGGTTAAATTTTTGTTGATATTGGTTTTGGTATGCCTGGAGCCTGTGAGGGCAAGCTCTCATGAAGTGATTTGGAGAATCGCATATATAGCAGTTTCTGTGTGCTGGCTAGGGCCTATTGTTCCTATTTGAGCTGTGTTCTAAGCGATCTAATCTCGTAATGAGACTCCAAAGGGTGGAATTAATTTCATTGTTTCCTTCTTTTTCAGGTTTCTGCTCGTCAAATGGCCATTTTGCTCTCGCGTTTGATTCAACGGCACGAACATTCAACTGGCGCTTTTCGGAGCTATCCCCAAGAATGGATATTTTTTAACCTGGTAAATTCCAGGGGGGGGGGGGGGGGGTCCTGATCCGCGCATGCCTGTCATGGTAAAAATGTGTAACTACCATTAAATCCCGTTTAAAGTAAAATCCCATGATAAATCTTAGTAAAACATATTCAAACATTAATTCTGTGGATATTCACAAGCAATTATAACATTGAATTGCATAACAAAATACAACTTGCTCAAATACGAAACTCTGGCTAATACAAATATAAGATGTCGGCGGGATGTAAACAATTTCCATGACTCCAACAATCGTGTGCAATTATGGCAATCGCCAATGTCAAGCGCTTATTTGACTCATAAATAATCAAGTAAAATACAGCAACATGCAAATATATTCTGAAGGTATGCACATGAATTCATAAAATAGGATTTCCTGTATAAATCCAAACAACAAGTATGTCAAATGTGCTAAAAATAGACAATAAATCGTTGAGTAAAAAATCAAAGGACTGAAATGTAGTAGTGTAGTTCATGCATAATAAAATCCACCCAGATAATATTCCCAATAAATGTTGACACTATTAAATCGTAAAAAAATAAACTAATTAATTGAATTCTACCCCAGGCCATTACAGTATTTTAAAAAAGTGTTGAATAGGTCATTTCTAGCTAGTCGGTCGGGAGAGGACAAACAATTTTTCAAAAATGGTCTAATTTTCATGAAAATGAAAGTATGGAACTCTGACTTGAAAATTATAAAAATATTTCTACCAAAAATTGGCTAATTTTTACCAGCATCGAAAAAAGAGGACCAGAAAACAAGGCAATATTAGAAAATTTCACTATTTCATGGCTGAAGCTTAAAAAATCAATACTACTTCTTCCTGTGCTTTAACATTTACATACATATCAGTCTTATATAGAGTATCTTCTAACATGCTTCTTAATTTCATGAATTATGCTCTTGTACTCATCTCTTTTTTCAAAGAAAAGGTGGCCAAATTCATCTGCGAAATTGCTGTACTCATTAAAGATTCTTCCTGATCTCCTTAAAGCAGAAACACCACTTTTCCAGTCTAATTTATAATAAGGGTAATTCTTTTGCTTGCTGTGCCATCTGAAGAATATATCAAATGTTGTTGAAAAAATGATATTGTCATCTTCTCGAAAAATTGCCCTTACATTCACATCTGCCCCTGCCTGGAGTAGGATCCTTACTTTCTCTACTCTTTCAACAATTAATAAGCCTCTCTCATTCAGGAGTATGTGCAGCAATGGTCTTGCTTCAATATAGCTGTTCTTGTCATCATGTATCTGCAGATTTACATCCAGACCACCCTGCAAAAGATTACTGAGTCCATCACTGTCCAATGTTCTGATTAATGTCCATAATTTTGTTACCATCCACCAGGCATTCCTCTTTGAGATTACAACATCATCTTTGCTATCCATTTTTACACTGGCATGTCTAATGAAAACCAGAGTGTTAAATAGGTTTAAATTTAAATCAATTCTGTCCTCAAATTTCAACAATGCATTCACTAAATCTTGTCTGTTTATTTTGTATGCAAAATGCAGTACTGTTGCATGGAGGTTGACCAGTCCACCAAAATGAAGATGTTTCATCAAACTCTGTACCCATGACTGAGAATTTTGTTCTAACGCAGCTACCAGTGGTGTTTTCATCCGCTTATTTTTTTTATTGACATCAGCTCCAATGTTCAGTAACAAATTACACATTTTCAGATTTCCATCATTGCATGCTGATACTAATGCTATATCTCCCATCCCATCACTCAGATTGACATCAGCACCCAACTTCACGAGCTCTTCCACAACACTCAGATGACCATTTTTGCAGGCAGTCACCAATGGTGTATTCCCCGCTCCATCTTGTAAATTGACCTCACCGCCAGCTTTCACCAAGACATTCACCAAACTCAAGTACCCACCTTCAGACGCTGCTACCAATGGTGTGTATCTATCATTTTCCTGCATTGGGGTCGTCTTCCATAGCCATTGTTCATTTTTAAAAGTCACCATTTCCTTTACAAATTCATTACAGCATACCAATAATGGATTCCTATCTCCATATTTTAAATTTACATCAGCATTTAAGTTGACAAGCTTCTTAACCATCATCAAGTGTCCATCCTGACAAGCAACTACAAGTGGTCTTCTTCCTCTTCCATCAGGATGATTAATATCTGCCCCTACACTGAGTAGTTTTTCCATCACATCCTCATGTCCACATTTACATGCAGTTACCAGTGGTGTATTCCCTTGTAAATCTTGCTGTTCGACATGTGCTCCAGCATTAATAAGCTCTTCCACAACTTGTACAACTCCACTTTGACAAGCAACTATCAGTGGTGTATGAATATTACTCAGGCATATACTGTCTATGGACTCCCTATCCATGTGAGGAAGAATTGTCTTCACAGTGTCCACATCACCACTGTAACAAGCCAATACAAGTAACCTGGTCTGCTCTATATACTTGCAATACATTGATAAATCTGTAGTATTTGACCTTTGTTTCATTTCACTGATTATGTTTTCATAATGTGGATGTCTAGAATCTTGATTTTCCATAAATAGTTCTCTTTTAGTTTCACCATGATTTTCTGTTTGCTGTACAATTTGCTGCAAGATCTGACAATGTCCATACATAATAACCCAACTGATAACTCTTATACTGATCATGTTTGTTTTATAATGCAAGTTCTCATCCATCAAAACCTCAAGTCTTTTCAGTTCACTCCTCACATTTGACTGCTTCTGACTTTCTGTTATCAAATGATACCCTTGACGTACTAAGTGTAGGCCACTTTCTTGTTTCGAGAGGAATAAAGATTTGATATCAGAGTAAGGTTTTTTTTGCAATACATCAATGAATGCCTTTATTACTTGTGGATGTTTCAAAGAATCGTTCATGAAGACATCGTACAGCTTCAGTTCCTGTATGTCTCTGTAGAGCCTCTCTGCAAACATAGGATACTGATCTTCATTTAACCTCAGATACAAATCATAGGTATCCTCACCTGCATTTCTTGTACTTGCTTTAACATTCTTTGCTATTACATAGTTTGCTATGTAACAACTGTCCATATAACGTAAAATTTGGTCCAGAAACTGTTGACCATAATGAAATGCACAGATTTCATAAATGTAATCATGAATAAATGAGTACTCTGCACCACTCTCTTTTGTGTAAGTACCTTTCATTGCAGACAATGCATCCATAAACTTGAATGTATCTGTGTGACTTTCTACCTTACAACTTTCTAGCACAAATTTTTTCATTTCCATAAATTGAGCATTGTTTTTGTCCCTTAGAATTTCTTTTGAGAGCATATCTCCATTCATCATGCATATGATAAGTGTTGCATAATTTATTTTGTTCTCTGATCTCATGTTATCCAATTCATCGAGGAAGCACTGAACAGGCATCTTGAAAAACTTTGAACCCAGAGATCTGAATTTTTGGTCTTTCACAAACAATTTACAAAGAAGAGGGAACATTGGAGATGCAGACCTAAGCTCTGAACTGGTCATTAAATCTTCATCTAATCCATATTTCTTTAAGATTAGTTTCTTGTCATGGTCATTTAAATCATGCTCAGAATTGCACAGCTTAATGACATTGTTGTCTTCAGCTAAAAAGACATTGTGACATAAAACCTCATTAAATACAATCTCTCTACATGTCAGCAGCAATTTGGAATTTTCATTAATTGGTGTAATTATTCTGTCTTTATATCGGAGAATGATATTCAATTCCGACTGTTGAAGGCCATATACACCCAAAGCGTCTTCCATAACAAAAACCTGTGGATTATTGGTATCACAATAATCCTCTATCTTTCTGATGTCATTGATGGGCAAAACCTGGTAATTTTCACTTTTGAGCTTTAGTGCAATGTGACGAGCTGTAGCCGATTTGCCTGACCCTGGGACTCCAACAAATATTACATATGGTTGGTCTCTCACTTTTTGCATCATTGAAGGGAAGCTGTGGGTTTCCTGATAAAAAGTGTCTTCCTCTTCCCATTTCTTGAGGTCCAAGTTGTGCAGATCTGAAGATAAAAAGTTTAAGATATTAAATAAATTCATTTTTGGTTAGAACATTTTGTTTGACATACTCTAAAACTGATTCCCAAACATTTTGAAATTTTTAACTTAAGATATTTATTTTGTGTATAAAATAATTAAAAACAGAGTCTGTTGAGACTGTATCTCTACTGGTTTAAATTCATGATCATTATAGCTCCCCCTACCCCCTCCCACTGTCACCCTGACCCATGGGCCAAAATCATCATTTTGGGAAAGGCACATTTTCTCATCATAACAATGTACTCAGATCATCGACATAATACCCAGGAGCGGAGGAGGAGATTTTCAAAGAATTAAAGTATTTTCACTAAACAATCATTAGAACTCTGTACGAACAACAGAACCATGCACTCATCCAGGGGGCTTGAAATTCATAACTTTGATGATGCACCCTGCCTTATTATAACTATGTACACAGTTTAGGCCGGAATTAAAAATATCTTTGTTTCCCCTAACCCGACCCTAAATTCTCAATTTGGGTCGGTAGGTAGGTAAACAATTTTATTTTCTGACACCAGCTTTAAATATAATAATGGAAAATTACCTTTATAAATAAGAAAAGTACAAAAGAAAGCGATTTGTGAACAAAATGCTAAGTATCGTAAATGTGCCGTTTTAAAGCAAAATTCATGATTAATTAATTCACAATTGTTATTTAATTGAACTTGTGAAATATCTTACGCCATTACATTTATATAAATTGAATAAAATAGACAAGATTCTCAAATACGCAAAGACCAGACATACGAGTATATTTTTTCAAACCTTCCATCAGCCTTTAGAGCTTACAGATGGTAAATGTACTTTTTTGAGGGCCATGAGATTTGTAGTGGTTCTGGAGCATTTTGCTTTGGAGTTTAGAAGTAAGTGGCTAATTATAAATTACAGGTTCTAATCCCAATGAGTAACGTTGAAAACAGTCCTTCAAAGGGGACCATAAAAACTTATGTCCAGTGTCGCAGAAGATGCTGACTCAAAAAAGATCCCCTCTGCTTAATGGCAAAAAAAGTGCTGAGTACGTCTAAATTTGGAGCAATGTGGAAATGTTTAAATGTCGTCCTAACAAATCTCGAAGGGATTAAAAGCAAAGAAACAAGCAATCTTCAAGGGCCTAATTAAAGAAAAATACACTGGATGTCTCAGGAAGCTGAATCATGATTTCAAAACTATTTGGAAAGAGTATGTTAACAATATTTAATTTAACCAAACCGAATCTACAAATAATAAAAATTCTATATACAAAATCACGAAGTTTAACCACTAAATAAAGGCATGAGGAAAGGACATCTGAATTATATTTATCAGGATGAATATGCAGACATATTCACAACAACTCCTATGGTCCCATATTGGCATATATTAAACATAGGAACATAGATGAACTGGTTATTAGATCAAAACTCAAATTAGATAAAATTTAGTGAAATTGAATGATGTGTTCACTAGATGGGCCCCTCATCTACTCATGAGGCGGGCCTTACCATGTATTACAAACCTTAAATTCAAAGACATGGATTGTTTGTTGTTTAATAGGGATGGGTATCGCCAAAAATTTCGTATCGCGATATATCACGATTTTTTCTCACAATATCACGATAAAATCATGATATTTTTAAAAGCAGTGTTTACAATGATTTTATATGAAAAGTCATTATTTTTCTAAAAAAATTGATTGAAAAACAAAATTTTATCTTCTTGAAATATTTATGTATATAAAATCAACTATGTTTGGATGGTAAGATGCCATTCTTTTCACGTTTTACATCATTTTTATACTTTCTGTAATTGTAATTTGAAAAGATTAAACAAATAATTGAATAATTTTGGACTTTATTATATGTACTTAAATACCGGTATTTAGGTTTCCGTATCACGATACGTATCACGCAACAAAAAATCGCAATATACCGGTTTACCGATAAAATCGCACATCCCTATTGTTTAACGTCCCTTTCGAAAATTTATTCACTCTCGTGGAGACGACAAGACACCTCCGAAACACTCTTAATTAGTCATGGTAAATTTTATTATCGAATTGTTTCAAGAATGAAGAATTCCAAGTAGCTAAAAGCATAAGATTTAGACATCGCCATTGTTTTATGAAGAGCTAAGTAAATGTCCTATAACATCACATCTGGACGTCATTTTGTTTCCAACAAATGCTTGAAAATCACAGTTTAGAACAATGTCGGCCGTTCTAATAACAAGAGGCCCAGGGGCCACAGCGCTCACCTGAGCACATCGGGCTTGAATTTACTCCCCCCCCCCCCCCTCCAGGCGTTCATCATTTGAACAAACTAGAATCTATATTACCTGAGGATGATTCCATATAAATACCCTGGGTATCACTAATCATAGCTTTGAAGTACTTGAAAAGAAGATTTTAAAAGGTTTCCCTATATATCCCTATGTAAAACTTGGGTCGGCCATTTTGGCCCCACCCTATCCCCAGGGCTGGGGGTCATGATTTGAAAAAATTTGAATCTACACTACCTGAGGATGATTCCACATGAGTTTCATCTTTCCTGGCCAAGTGGTAATTGAGAAGGATTTTTAAAGATATTTCCTATATATTCCTATGTAAAACTTGGGTCGGCCATTTTGGCCCCATCCTTGCCCCGTGGGTCATGATTTAACTTGAATCTACACTACCTAAGGATGATTCCACATGAGTTTCATCTTTCCTGGCCCAGTGGTTCTGGAGAAGAAGATTTTTAAAGATTTTTCTTATATATTCCTATGAAAAACTTGGGTCAGCCATTTTGGCCCCACCCTTGCCCCAGGGGTCATGATTTGAACAAACTTGAATCAACACTACCTGTGGATGATTCCACATGAGTTTCATCTTTCCTGTCCTTGTGGTTCTTGAGAACAAGATTTTTAAAGATTTTTCCTATATATTCCTATGTAAAACTAGGGTCGGCCATTTTGGCCCCATCCTTGCCCCGGGGGTCATGATTTGAACAAACTTGAATCTACACTACCTGAGGATGATTCCACATGAGTTTCATCTTTCCTGGCCCAGTGGTTCTGGAGAAGAAGATTTTTAAAGATTTTTCCTATATATTCCTATGTAAAACTTGGGTCGGCCATTTTGGCCCCACCCTTGCCCCGGGGGTCATGATTTGAACAAACTTGAATCTACACTACCTGAGGATGCTTTCACATGAGTTTCATCTTTCCTGGCCCAGCGGTTCTGGAGAAGAAGATTTTTTAAAAATGCCATTAATTTTTAACAAAGTCATGATTATCTCCCCTTGGAAAAGGGCATGGCCCTTCATTTGAACAAACTTGAATCCCCTTTACCCAAGGATACTTTGTGCCAAGTTTGGTTGAAATTGGCCCAGTGGTTCTTGAGAAGAAGATGAAAATGTGAAAAGTTTACAACAACGACAACGACTACGACGACGACAACGACAACAACGACAGACAACGGACAAATTTTGATCAGAAAAGCTCACTTGAGCCTTCGGCTCAGGTGAGCTAAAAACCGATTTTGATGAAATTGTATCTTATAAAACTTGGTTAACAATAAAAAAAATATTTGAATCATCTTATTTAAAAAATCTTTTCAGTCGGCGCGATTTAATTGGGTCGGTCGCGTTTATAAGGGGAAACAAAGGTATTTTTTGTTTTGGTCTTATCTGCTTAATACCCAGGAGCAGAGGAGAAGATTTTCAAAGAATTAATGCATTTTCACAACATAATCAATAGAGCCATGCCCTTACACCAGAACAACTGACTCAGGGTTTGTGACATTCAAAATTTTGGAAAAGACACCCTGCCTCATCATAACTATGAATAGTTCATTGGCTTAATTCCCAGGCATAGAGGGGGAGATTTTAAAAGAGTCAATGCATTTTCACTACATAATAATTAGAGCCCCACCCTAACACCAGAACCCCTGACCAAGGGGCCCTGAAATTCAGAACTCTTCCTCATTTTAACTATGTACATACGGGTAGTTTATTGGCTTTATACCCAGGAGCATAGCATGACTGACAAAAATGGATGAAAACAGATAGCTACAGGTCACCTGAGTGACTCAGGTTACTAGTCACCTAAAAAGCTGAGCTGAGCTTTGGGCTCAGGTGAGCTTAAAAGACAGTTTAACAATTTGAATGGCCCTAACATACACTAAATCACTACATGGTGCACATTAGTCATTAGTAATAATTTTATAAGTATCAATTGTACTATCTTACCTTTAACATTTGGAGGAACTGGAGGTAGTGTGAATTTCATTATTTTCTCTGAAAAACACAAAAATATTTATTAGTTATATTACATGCCATGATATATTTTCACAGTTGGAAAACAAATGGAATCAACTTATCTCATAGTAGAAAACTACATTTCCTTCTATGACCAATAGGGCCCAGCCAAGCAAGGTAGAACTCTTGCCCCTGTGGTCAAGATTTTACAAATCTGGTAATATATAACCTTGCTTAAGGCACAACAATGTAATATATTTTCATCCTGGATGCCTAGGAGCAGAGAAGGTTTTCAAAAGAATTCAGATTTTTAAAGAACTTATGCAACTAGTTTCCAACTATCATTGATTCCCTGGCATACCTAGACTTGCTCAAGTCTCTCTGTTTTAGTGCTCTCTTTGTCATACTTTTTGATTGTGTCAAACATAGTTTAAACTTCCCCACAAGCTGTAAAGAACACTTGAACACACACACACACACACATATGCTATTTGCTCTCCACAACTAGTTGTGCAAGGGGATATATTCCATTGTCCATCTCAAATATACGTACATACATGTAAATGCAATAAATAACAAGGCCACCGCTAAGCGGAGCATCCCCTCGCAGGAACATTACTTGTATGGCAATATGTCATGAGAGATAAATTCTCTAGAGGGATGTTAACAAGAGGCCCAAGGGCCTTGAATGAATCGCTCTTTTGATAAATTATACAATCTATCCTAAGACCCAAGATGCATCAGCTGACAAAGTTTGATGATTCTTAGCCAGTTAGGACTTAAGATATTTAAATGTAACTATAATTACTATAAGTAGGTCATGGTGACCTAATTTTTGATTGAATTTTTTTAAGGACAAAAGATGCATTTATTGACAAAGAATGATGATTCTAAGCCAATAAGTACGAGATATTCAAAAGTCCAGGGTCACAGTGACCTACTTATTAGTCAACATTCTCCGAAAACCCAAGGTGCATCAATCTGACAAAGTTTGACAAATCTAAGCAAATGAATACTCTAAAACTCTTAAACACACCTCCTAACCTTATAAGCATAAATCGGAAGAATTTATCTAGAGATAAACGTAATAAAATACGAACAAAATCCGTAAACTTCCGAACAGCTTTCCTCGCGAGAATTCAACGAGAGCAACATGCCAGTGGTGAAAATCGATCGAGAAATTCAACATGAAAAAAAGAGGTAAAACTTTATGTTTTCTCGATTTATAAGGTTTGTAAATTGCAAAAAGTTGAAAAACAAATGTTTCTTTACTTGAAAAGTGACAGTAGGTATACGGTTACTCATTCTATCAAGTGCTATTGCACTTTAAAGTGTCAAAATTATTTGCACCTCTCCATTTTGTAAACATGTTTCCATGTGGAAGGGAGTATTTGTGTCGGTAAAGATTAACCCACATACATTGATTTAGTAAACAAAAACACTCATAAGTAGAATTTTATTTATTTTTTTCGATTACCAGCTGTAGCACGAAATGGCTAAATATTTTAGGGCATATTTGTCAATTGATGTTAATAGTGTGTCTTGAATTGAAGAGAAAATGCAGGTGCGCGCTACAGGCCGTTCCTACTTGTCAGGTAGTCTACCATGCATGCATATGCAGAATTACCCATATAAAAGTCATTATTTTTACTTATCAATACCCAGTGATTTGTGAGAACCATATACATGTCTGTGTGTTTTTTAAATACCAAGAGACTAAAAATTTATTCTAACTGCACTCATGTGTTCTTCTGAATTTCCTCTACACATATACATGTGTTATAACCTAGATAAAGGTTTGTTTACATTTGTTTGCAGTTTTAATAAAGTCAGCTGTTTATATCAATCATGCAGTTTTCACTAGAGCCTACTGATCAAACAAGAGATGTTTGTAAAACACTTATGCCCCCCTCCCCCCAAATTAGAATTTTTTTCAGTCCAAAAGGGCATAACTCTGTCTAAAATGGTACGATCCTACCCAAAACATTTCTTGACCTAGATATTCAGCTGAAAAATTTGTATACTAAATTTCATTTCAATATGTGCAACCTCTGCAAAGAAAATGAACGGAACTGCAAATAAGTGGAATTTTTCTAAGTCCAAGGGGCATAACTCTAACAAGAAGGATGCGATGGAACCCAAAACAGAACTTGACCTAGATATTTATCTGATATAATATCCAGACCCTGGGACCATGAAATTCACAATTTTGGAAGAGGCACTCTTCCCCATCATAACTATGTACTTAGTTAGTTTATTTTATATCTAGGAGCAGAGAAGAAGATTTTCAAAGAATTAGTGCATTTTCACTATATAAGAGCCCCCCCCCTGCCCCCCACAACTGAACCCCTGACCCTGGGGCCATAAATTTCACAATTTTGGAATAGGCACTCTTGCCCACTTTGTACTTACTTAGTTTATTTAATACCTAGGAGCAATGAAGAAGACTTTCAAAGAATTAATGTATTTTCAGTAAATAATCAATAGAGCCCCGCCCTAACACCAGAACCCCCAACCCTGGGGCTATAAAATTCACAATTTTGTAAGAGGCACTCTAACCCATCATTACTATGTACTTAGTTAGTTTAATAAATGCCCAGGAGCAGTGAAGAAGATTTTCAAATATTTAATGCATTTTCATGATATAATCAATAGAGCCCCACCCTAACACCAGAACCCCTGACCCTGGGGCCATGAATTCACAATTTTGAAAAAGGCACTCTTGCTCATCATAACTATGTACTTAGTTAGTTTATTTGATACCCAGGAGCAGAGAAGAAAATTTTTGAAGAATTCATGCATTTTCACTATATAATCAAAAGAGCCCCGCCCTTACACAAAAATCCCTGACCCTGGGGCCATCAAATTCTAAAAGTTTGGAAAAAGGCACTCTTGCTCATCATAACTACCGTATAATCCCTATTAACTGCCCTGGGCGCTTAGAAAATTGCAAAAAGGGGGCGGTTATTTGGGTATTCTCTTTATAATATTTAATGTCAGATTTTAACTTCAAAAAATCTTTTGAAAAAAAAAATAAATAAAAGGAACAACTAGAATAATGTCTAACTTTACTTAAAGTGAATATAATCCACACAAATTATGCTAAATTATTCATTTTCCATTGAGAAATTGGATAATAGACAAGTTTCAGTTTCAATTTCTTCAATTTTTTATACAATTCTAGTTGATTTTAATTACTGTACAGGGGGCCCTTATTTCCTGAAAATTGAAAAAGACCTAAGGGGGCGCTTATAGGGGCAGGGGCGGTTAATAGGAATTATACGGCATGTACTTAGTTTATTTAATGCCCAGGAGCAGAGAAGAAGACTTTCAAAGATTTAATGCATTTTCACTATATACAATGTAATCAATAGAGCCCCACTCTAACACCAGAACCCCTGACCATGGGGCCATGAAATTCACAATTTTGAAAGAGGCACTCTTGCTCATCATAACTATGTACTTAGTTTATTTAATACCCAGGAGCAGAGAAGAAAATTTTCAAAGAATTAATGCATTTTCACTATATAATTAATAGAGCCCTGCCCTTACACCAGAAACCCTGACCCTGGGGCCATAAAATTCACAACTTTGTAAGAGGCAGCCTTATTCAACATAACTCTGTACTTGGTTTTTTTTAATTTAATGCCCAGGAGCAGAGAAGAGGATTTTCAAAGAAATAATGTATTTTCACTATATGATCTATATATAGCCCCGCCCTAGCACTAGAACCCCTTACCCCAGGGCCATGAATTTCACAATTTTGGTAGAGGACTCAATGCTTATTACAATCATGCAAACAGTTTGACTGCTTGATGTCCAGGAGTAAAGATGAAGATTTTTAAAGATTGCATTAATTTAAGTGGTTTTTGCCCCACCCCTCAGGCCCGGGGGGGGGGGGGGGGACCATGAAATTCACAATTTTTGTTCCCCTTCACCTGTATATGCTTTATGCCAAAATTGGTTGAAATTGGTTGAGTGGTTTCAGAGAAGAAGCTCAAAATGTGAAAATGTTTTATTTTTGACAATCTTTGGGGGTGTTGTTGTTGATCCATTTTCACAAAATGCAAAGTGCATAGAGTCATGGTTAAGGGGGGTCATAACATGGATATCTGGTTTGGGGTATTCAAGTTTAAAATAAGATTAAGAAAATACAAGAGGCCCAAGGGCCTTGAATCGCTCTTCTGATAAATTGTACAATCTATCACTTCTATTTGAAGCCTCTAACCTTAAGTATCTTAAGACCGAAGTTTCATCAACTGACAAAGTTTGATGATTCTTAGCAATTAGGACTGAAAATATCTTTAATAATAAAGCTATAAAAAACCATAAGTACATCACAGTGACCTATATTAAGATTGAAGTTTTCTGAGGACTCAAGATGCATTAATAAACAAAGATTGAAGATTCTAAGCCAATAAGTATTTGAGATATTCAAAAGTAGGTCACTGTGGCCTACTTTTTTGTCTACATTCTTTGAAAACCCAAGATACATCAACTGACAAAGTTTGATGATTCTAAGCCAATAAGTACCTGAGATATTTAAAAGTAGGTCACCATGACTTATTTTTTGGTCGACATTCTCTAAAAACCAAAGATGCATCAACAAACAAAGTTTAGTGATTCTAAACCAGTTAGTACCATAGATCCTTAATTAAAGCCATAAAATGTCAAAAATTAGGTCACCGTGACCTAATTTTTGGACATCATTCTCCGAAAACCCAATATGCATCAACTTACAAAGTTTGATGATTCTAAGCCAATAAGTACCGTATATACTTAAACTTAAAAGTATAAACCAGATCACCAACACTTCGTGAGAATGCAGCAGTAAATTTATTTTGTTGACCGGTTTCGACCTGTGACGGTCGTCATCAGAACAATCAAGCATGTAAATTTATCTACTGAAGTAAAAAATGCGGATGACGTTGCTATATACACAAAAATTGCGGATGGCGTTGCTACATACAAAATAAAATGCGGAGTGTTTTGCACATATGCGGACTTGCTTAAGAATGGTACTTTATACAAAATATACTCAATTTACGTTTCCTCTAAAGTTTTTTTCTGACTTAAGATTTAGTCAGTAGCTAATATTATTGTTTTATGATTGATAAAAATGTCCATAAATTGTGTGGATTATTATTCTTCTGTTGCATCATCAAGCTGTTTCGGTAGACTGTGACGTCACAATGGAAAAAAATACGGATGGTTTGTACATATAGAGTGCGTAAAATTATACAAGTGGACATTAGATTACATTTCCTATAAATGTTGGGATAACATAAAATGTAGTTTGGTTTCATAAATTGCTACTTCTGAATAGTTCTATCTTATGGAGGATAATAATTGTTCGTAAAAATACATTAAAATAATTAACATGTATTAATATCAACAATGCTAATTTCTTTAAAATGTTCAAGAGTTCATTGTAGTTTTATGACAAAATTCGTTCAGACGAAATGTGAAGGTACGTAGATCCTTGCTCCAATTCGTCCATTACATCAAGAGGGGGGTGTAGTTAACAATTACTGGGATTTTTTATTGTCCTTGAATGCTTTTGTTGATTCCTTATCGGCTTCCTTCTTCTTCATAAAGTTTGGGATTGCGGTTAATAGATCGTTTATATGTTCCATTTCGTTAGTGTTTTCTTTGTTTTTAAGCTGGGATTTTAAATCAAGTATCTGTGTATTAATCGTATTAATTCTTGTATTCCAATATTCATAAAGTAAGCGGATGAGGCTGCGGCTAAAATTAAGGTGTGCTTCCTCCCACTTTAGGAGAAATAAAGCATTACTGTCTGGAATTTGTGGAATGATTTTGGCTCTTAGTGTTTTTGGTATGAGGTCCTGTTGTTGGCATTTATGCAGGTATGCGGCATGGCTTTTAGTTCTTTGGAGTTTGATATGAAGTTTTCGGAGTGTCCTAAAAATGGCAACATTTTCTTCTGATATTTTCGGTTTCTCGGAAGATTCCACTGGATCGGATGTTGCAATAGCGGTTTCTTTCCCTGCTATTTCTTGTTGAGATTTGTTAGTTGTTTCTGAATATTCTATATCCGTATCAGATTGTGAAGAATTGCGGAATCTTTTTTTGGGGTTGCTGATGTCTACCTTGAGGGATTCACTCACTTTCTGGTTAATTGATTCTTTTAACTTTGGAATTGAGTTGGTGGCCATAATGTATAGCGCAGTTCGGAATGGTGGATACCTTATGGTATGCAGGGGTCCCAGTAACAATGTAGAATACAAAACAAAGAAAAGTTGGAGACCAACACCTTGAGGTTAAAATTGCGGAAGATTCTCACGTGTGGATACCGAAAGGTATTCAATAGGGTCTGTAACTAAAGTTATAAACTTAAAAGTATAAACCAGATCACCAACACTTCGTGAGAATGCAGCAGTAAATTTATTTTGTTGACCGGTTTCGACCTGTGACGGTCGTCATCAGAACAATCAAGCATGTAAATTTATCTACTGAAGTAAAAAATGCGGATGACGTTGCTATATACACAAAAATTGCGGATGGCGTTGCTAAATACAAAATAAAATGCGGAGTGTTTTGCACATATGCGGACTTGCTTAAGAATGGTACTTTATACAAAATATACTCAATTTACGTTTCCTCTAAAGTTTTTTTCTGACTTAAGATTTAGTCAGTAGCTAATATTATTGTTTTATGATTGATAAAAACGTCCATAAATTGTGTGGATTATTATTCTTCTGTTGCATCATCAAGCTGTTTCGGTAGACTGTGACGTCACAATGGGAAAAAATACGGATGGTTTGTACATGTATATATAGATATATATATACATCCGCATTTTTTACTTCAGTAGATAAATTTACATGCTTGATTGTTCTGATGACGACCGTCACAGGTCGAAACCGGTCAACAAAATAAATTTACTGCTGCATTCTCACGAAGTGTTGGTGATCTGGTTTATACTTTTAAGTTTATAACTTTAGTTACAGACCCTATTGAATACCTTTCGGTATCCACACGTGAGAATCTTCCACAATTTTAACCTCAAGGTGTTGGTCTCCAGCTTTTCTTTGTTTCGTATATACTTAAATAAAGCCATAAAATGTCAAATGTAGGTCACTGTGACCTACTTTTTGGTCATCACTCTCCGAAAACCTAAGACGCATCAACTCACAAAGTTTGATGATTCTAAGCCAATAAATACCTAAGATACTTAAATAAAGCCATAAAATGTCAAAAATTAGGTCACCATGACCTAATTTTTGGACATCATTCTCCGAAAACCCAAGATGCATCAACAAAGTTTGATGATTCTAAGCCAATAAGTACCGTATATACTTAAATAAAGCCATAAAATGTCAAAAGTAGGTCCCTTTGACCTACTTTTTGGTCATCACTCTCCGAAAACCTAAGACGCATCAACTCACAAAGTTTGATGATTCTAAGCCAATAAATACCTAAGATACTTAAATAAAGCCATAAAATGTCAAAAATTAGGTCACCATGACCTAATTTTTGGACATCATTCTCAGAAAACCCAAGATGCATCAACTTACAAAGTTTGATGATTCTAAGCCAATAAGTACCGTATACTTAATAAAGCCATAAAATGTCAAAAGTAGGTCACTGTGACCTACTTTTTGGTTGTCACTCTTTGAAAACCCAAGACACATCAACTCACAAAGTTTGATGATTCTAAGCCAATAAATACCTAAGATACTAAAATATAGCCATAAAATGTCGAAAGTAGGTCACCGTGACCTACTTTTTGGACATTATTCTCCGATAACCCAAGATGCATCAACTTACAAAGTTTGATGATTCTAAGCCAATAAGTACCGTATATACTAAAATAAAGCCATAAAATGTCAAAAAGTAGGTCACCATGACCTACTTTTTGTTTGTCACTCTCCGAAAACCCAAGATGCATCAACTCACAAAGTTTGATGATTCTAAGCCAATAAATACCTAAGATACTAAAATATAGCCATAAAATGTCGAAAGTAGGTCACCGTGACCTACTTTTTGGACATTATTCTCTGATAACCCAAGATGCATCAACTTACAAAGTTTGATGATTCTAAGCCAATGAGTACTGTATATACTAAAATAAAGCCATAAAATGTCAAAAGTAGGTCACCATGACCTACTTTTTGTTTGTTACTCTTTGTCATTGTGACCTACTTTTTGGTCGACATTTTTCAAAGTCACAAGATGCATCTGCTGACCAAGTTTGACGATCCTAGGTCTGAAGGTAATCAAAATATGCCTTTTAAACAATTCGAAAACAAATGCCTGCAAAATTCAGAAAGTAGGTCACAGTGACCTACTTTTTCATAAATATGTTTTAAGGTCCCAAGATGCATCAATTTACAAGATTTGATGATTCTAAACCTCTCAGTGTCTGAAATAATTGGATTAAATGTTTTAAAAAGAATTAGTCATAAAGTTCAAAAAGTAGGTCACGGTGACCTACTTTTATGCTGACGTTGTGCAAGGACCCGAGATGCATCAACTGACAAAGTTTGATGATCATAGGCCTTAAAGTGCCCGAACTATGTCTTCAAATCAATTTGAAAACAAATGCCCACAAAATTTAAAAAGTAGGTCACTGTGACCTACTTTTGAGTTAACATGATGTGAAGTCCTGAGATGCATCAACTTAGAAGATTTGATGATCCTAGTCCTAATAGTAAGCAAAATATAAACGTTTTTATTATTTGTAAATTTAGGTCAACTTTGAAGTGACCTTGAGACCACGCCCTTTGCCCCAGGGTCATGCCTTGAACAATTTTTAATCTTCAACATATCCTGATCCTTGTATGTAAGTTTGGTGAAAATCTGCTTGGTGGTTCTGGAGAAGAAGATTTTTTAGCAACCAGTACTTTTGGTTTTATTTTCCTGATTATCTCCCCTTGTTTTAGGGTTCCAACCCTAATTTTAGTATAAGTGGTAGCCCTTGGGCCAAGGATACCCTGTAACAAATTTGACAATGATTGGCCAAGGGGTTCTTGAGTTATGGCCCATTTTCTAAAAAGTTAACGCACACCGCACGACGCACACCGCACAAATGGCCATAGCATTAGTTCTTTGAGCCTTTGGCTCAGAAGAGCTAAAAATGTTTTTCAGCACTTATTATTTTTTTAAAATATCGGGGTAGGGGATCTTTTTTTTTTTTTAAACAAAAATCAAATTGGATAACATTTCAGTGGGAAGGCATACCATGCATATGTAATTGGGCAGTTTCCCTTATACCTAGAAGAAACAAATCATGTATGCTACATGTTTAAGTTTCAGTAATTTACCTAACCAAGTACGAGGGTTGTCCGTAAAGTTCGTGAGCAAGCTAAGAATTACATTAAAGTTTCGTCATTGATATTTATTTTTAGCATATTTCTAATCCTTTACTAAATGTGAATTAAGAAATGTTAAATCTTATTCAATTTCAAATGTTTAATTAAAATTAATTATCGCTTTGCAAAATTTTAATTAAAAAATTATTTATCACTTTATAAATTTCATTTAAAGTATTTATAAAATTCTGCGGAAATCTAGATGGCTTTTACATTATGAGGTTGATAGAAGTTATCACTTCAAACCTGCAAAATTTGAAAATTCAAAGTTGTAAAATGGCTGAGCAATCAAAGTTAGAACGTATTAAGATGGATGAAATTGTTCATAAAAAAGGATGGTTTCGGAATAGGTGGAGCAGTGAGCAGTATCAAAATTCTGCGTATAGACATCGGATAAACAGCTACAGTGACCAATTCATTTTGTAAACAATCAGGAAAACGTAGTAAAAGAAGCTGTTCAATAGTATATATTAACAAGAGGCCCAAGGGTCTTGAATCCCTCTTCTGATAAATGATACAATCTATCCGAAGACCCAAGATGCATCAACTGACAAAGTTTGATGATTCTTAGCCAGTTAGGGCTGAAGATATTTAAATGTAACTATAAAATACTATAAGTAGGTCATGGTGCCCTACTTTTTGATTGAAATTTCCTGAGGACACAAGATGCATTAATTGACAAAGATTGATGATTCTAAGCCAATAAGTACTTGAGATATCCAAAAGTGGGTCAAAGTGACCTACTTATTGGTCAACATTCTCTGAAAACCCAAGGTGCATCAACTGACAAAGTCTGACAATTCTAAGCCAATAAGTACCCTAGAATACTTAAATATAGCCATAAAGTGTCACAAGTAGGTCACCGTGACCTTTTTTTCGATGATCCTTCTCCAAGAACCCAAGATGCTTCACAAAACAAAGTTTGATGATTCTAAACCAATAAGTACCCGAGATACCTAAATATAGCCATAAAATATCAAAAGTAGGTCACTGTGACCTACTTTTTGGTTGACATTCTCCGAAAACCCAAGATGTATCTACTGACAAAGTTTGATGATTCTAAACCAATCAGTACCTGAGATATTCAAAAGTAGGTCGACATGACCTACTTTTTGGTCGACATGCTCCGTAAACCTAAGATGCATCTACTGACAAAGTTTGATGATTCTAAGCCAATAAGTACCTGAGATACATAAATCTAGCCATAAAATGTCAAAAATAGGTCACCGTGACCTACTTTTTGATTGTCGATCTCCAAAAACCTAAGATGCATCAACTGACAAAGTTTGATGATTCTAAGCCAATAAGTACCCGAGATACTTAAATCTAGCCATAAAATGTCAAAAGTAGGTCACCGTGACCTACTTTTTGGTTGACATTTTTTGAAGACCAAAGATGCATCAACTGACAAAATTTGACGATCATAGGTCTTATAGTATTCAAAATATGCCTTTTAAACAATTTGAAAACAAATGCCTGCAAAGTTCAAAAAGTAGGTCACAGTGACCTACTTTTTAATAAATATGTCTTAAGGCCCCAAGATGCATCAACTAACAAAATTTGGTGATTCTAAACCTATCGGTGTCTGAAATAATGGGATTAAATGTTTTAGAAAAGATTAGCCATAAAATTCAAAAAGTAGGTTAAGATGACCTACTTTTAAGTTGATGTTGTTTGTGGACCCAAGATGCACCAACTGACTAAGTTTTATGATCATAGGCCTTAAAGTGTCCAAAATATGCCTCAAAATCAATTTGAAAACAAAAGCCCTTAAAATTTAAAAAGTAGGTCATCGTGACCTACTTTTGTATTAACACGATGTGAAGTCCTGAGATGCATCAACTTACACGATTTCATGATCCTAGTCTTTATAGTAAGCAAAATATCAACATTTTTATTATGTGTAAATTTTTGTCAACTTTGAAGTGACCTTGAGACCACAACCTTTGCCCCAGGGTCATGCCTTGAACAATTTTTAATCTTCAACATATCCCGACCCTTGTATGTAAGTTTGGTGAAAATCTGCTCTGTGGTTCTGGAGAAGAAGATTTTTTAGCAACCAGTACTTTTGGTTTTATTTTCCTGATTATCTCCCCTTGTTTTAGGGTCCCACCCCTAGTTTTAGTATAAATGGTAGCCCTTAGGCCAAGGATACCCTGTGACAAATTTGACAATGATTGGCCAAGGGGTTCTTGAGTTATGGCCCATATTCTAACAAGAGGCCCAGGGGCCACAGCGCTCACCTGAGCACATTGGCAAGGAAAAAGCACGTATCAGATCAGAACTGAAAGTTTACTGAGGTGGGGTTCATGATTTGAACAAACTAGAATCTACACTACCTGAGGATGATTCCATATGAATATCACTAATCATGGCTTTGAATACTTGAAAAGAAGATTTTAAAGAGTTTTCCCATAAATTCCTATGTAAAACTTGGGTCGGCCATTTTGGCCCCATCCTCGTCCCGGAGGTTATGATTTGAACAAACTTGAATCTACACTACCTGAGGATAATTTTACATGACTTTCATCTTTCCTGTCTCAATGGTTCTTGAGAAGATCTTTAAAGATTTTTCCTATATATTCCTATGTAAAACTTTGATCGGCCATTTTGGCTGGCCCCACCCTAGCCCTGGGGGTCATGATTTGAACAAATTTGAATCTGCACTACCTGAGGATGATTCCACATGGGTTTCATCTTTCGTGGCCCAGTGGTTCTTGAGAAGAAGATTTATAAAGAGTTTTCCTATATATTCCTATGTAAAACTTGAGTCAGTAATTTTGGCCCCACCCTAGCCCCAGGTGTAATGATTTGAACAAACTTGAATCTACACTACCTGAAGAAAATTTTACATGAGTTTCATCTTTCCCGTCTCAATGGTTCTTGAGAAGAAGATTTTTAAAGATTTTTCCTATATATTCCTATGTAAAATTTGGGTCGGCCATTTTGGCCCCACCCTTGCCCTGGGGGTCATGATTTGAACAAATTTGAATCTGCACTACCTGAGGATGATTCCACATGAGTCTCATCTTTCCTGGCCCAGTGGTTCTTCAGAAGAAAATTTTAAAGTATTTTCCTATATATTCCTATGTAAAATTTGGGTCAGCCATTTTGGCCCCATCCTAGCCCTGGGGATCATGATTTGAACAAATTTGAATCTACACTTCCATAGGATGATTCCACATTAGTTTTATCTTTCCTGGCACAGTGGTTCTTGAGAAGAAGATTTTTAAAGAGTTTTCCTATATATTCCTATGTAAAACTTGGGTCGGCCAGTTTAGCCCCTTCCTAGCCCCGAGGGTCACGATTTGGACAAATTTAAATCTACACTACCTGAGGATGATTCCACATGAGTCTCATCTTTCCTGGCCCAGTGGTTCTTGAGAAGAAGATTTTTAAAGAGTTTTCCTATATATTCCTATATAAAACTTGGGTCGGCCATTTTGGCCCCACCCTTGCCCTGGGGGTCATGATTTGAATAAACTTGAATCTACACTTCCTTAGGATGATTCCACATTAGTTTCATCTTTCCTGGCACAGTGGTTCTTTAATGAGAAGAAGATTTTTTAAAATTGCCATTAATTTTTCTCTAATTCATAATTATCTCGGCGTAGCCCTTCATTTGAACAAACTTGAATACCCTTTACCCAAGGATACTTTGTAGCAAGTTTGGTTGAAATTGGCCCAGTGGTTCTTGAGAAGATGAAAATGTGAAAAGTTTACGACAACGACGACAACGACAACAATGACTACAACGACGACAGACAATGGACAAATTTTGATCAGAAAAGCTCACTTGAGCCTTCGGCTCAGGTGAGCTAAAAAGTTAACGCACACGGCACGACGCACAACGCACAAATGGCCATAGCATTAGCTCTTTGAGCCTTTGGCTCAGAAGAGCTAAAAAGTGGCATATGATATTTTCGGACGGAAGGAACAGTTTACAGGATGAAATACGTGAAGGAAAACCTGATGTGAAAATGAATTTCGTAATGTGACTATGCCTTATTTCCATAAATAAAATCGTTTTTAAGTGGACAGAGGTTGGACGATTGCTGGATATGAGACAGGCATTGTTAATATTATATTACGTATGAAACCTGAACATTTTGTGCACATATTTATGACTGTTTAAAGCGACATAAGAAATGTATTAAGTTAAACGGTGACTATATTGAGAAAAGTAACATGTACTCGTACGATGATTTAGATGTCGGGTAACGTCAAGAAATTTCATTTTAGTGCTACGGGTATGAGTATGTGTCTTTTTTAATCTGATAAAAATATGACTATTTGTGCTTTGTTTTTGTTGAAAACTTGCATGTAAATAAAATGAAACATGAGTTTTAAGGACAACCCTTGTATATCTCACAGTTCCAGGCAATATGCATGAAATTTTAGAATACCCACAGAAACAACATTTTTTTCGTAATGAAAAAAAACAACAAAATGTTCGATCGTTAAAATGATACGGACCTACTGACCCGTTGGCTTGTCCTGCGACATAGTTAGCTTATTCTAACTAAGGAATAACGTTCACCCCCAAATTCTCAGACACTTTTGGGAATCTGGTAATAAAACTGCACGACGTTCATCAGATTTTTTCAGTTACTTAGCGTTCATTATGACATGATAATTCATAGGTACAGACTGTCTCAAAATAATATGACAATGTGCAAAAACGAAGTAAAACTTACTGAGCAAGTCTATCGAAGCGACCCAAATTTACCAGGTTGTTGAAACGGAAGTTATTTGTCAAGTCGTACATAACACATAAGTTCATTGAACAACCCAGATTAGCGGAAATGAGCATTGTCAAGTCGTACATTAAATTTCAAGGTAAGAAGGTAGTAAAAACGCTATATTTTAAGAAATATTTCATCAATTAATTTGAAAATGAATAGGCTTTGTCTTTTTACAATGCCACACAAGTATGTAAAGGCTGAGAGAGGTTAATGCAAAGGTTCTCAGTAAATCTTGCCCACAAGCTGTAATGGACACACGAAAACACACACATTTGCGATGCAATATACCCTTCGCAACTAGTTGCGGGAGGGGATAACGTTCAAAAAATTCAATAGGAAATTAAATGGGTCAGTACGTGATCAAATCTGAGAAGGCCATCAGCATTCACAGGACTTGATGACATGACTGACCCAATTCATTTCCCATTGAAGTTTTTAACTTGTTATTAATTTTTTTTATATTTATATGATCTACCACCTTGATGTATTTTAATCCATTTATACCATACCATTCAACTTCTTCACATTTTTCTCAACCTCTCCACCTTTTTCAGCATTTTCTTCAAACTTCTCTACAAAATATAATGAAAAAATACATGTTCTACACCAAATGATTAATATATAGATATCACTGGAAACAGTCTTTCCCAAAAGCACCAGTCCGTCGGACAAAACAGGTGAAAATCTTATTGGTCCAATGCACTATCTAGTAAAATCGGTCTGTTTGTCCGAGGTTCGGTTTGGTTTTAAATTTTATATTTCTATTTCATCATATAGACGCTTGATCTCATACCAAAACACATAATGTGTTTTGGTATTAGCTTAAGCGTCTATTATTAAAAACGTTTTGTTGAATATGATTGTTTTAAAAACTACTTCCGCCACGATGTCTCTAAAATATTTTGATGGGACACTACCAGGAAAGAAAAAGAAACATTTCAGTTATTCTTTTAATGTAATACATGTACCTGTTTATTGATTCATATACGTGTTCATATGCTATGAAAAAACATTGTATATGATCATTATATGAAAAAAGTTTTGGACCGGTGAATATGCGTTTGGTCCTGTGAAATTGTGTTAACTGTCTGTCCGAATGTCCTGTGGCGATTTTTCTTTTTCGTGAAGACTGTGGTTATTTGAAATTTTAACCTCTGCAATCTCAGTTACATAATTATGTTTAATATAGATGTACAAAAAATATCTCATTTACGTTTCAGATTGGTAACCATTTCTCTGGTCTGCAGATCTTCTTCTACTTGTTTTCTCAGTTCCTCTTTGTAATGCTGGTCACGTAGAGGATCCATGGTTTCATGTCTTAGGAAATCAACTTCCCTCTCGTACTTACATCCATTATTGAGGAAGGTGTCTAAATTAACAACTGCTGCTCTGATGGTAGACCAGATACGACTGAACTCTGTGTTAGAGAGGGAAGAAATAGAATGAAAACACTGATTTCTAGCCAAGCGAATAGTTTCAATACAAGCAGAGGGAGAGCAGTCAGTTGGATCTGGATCATTACCCCAACCCTTTAAATGTGGTGTTATACCACACATGTTTCTTAGCAATAAGTAAAGTAGAGAGATATCCATATCGTCATAATTGCCAGTATAGGTTCCGTTTCTGGGTAAAATTAAATCTCTCTGTGGACCCGTTAAACGAGGAAGAAAACAAGCTTTTTGTTTGATGACATTTGGAAAAGTTTGTGGCGGAACAAAATGTCGTAAAACATCGCGAAGTTCATCCGTGCATGGACCTAAGATCAGTCGACATGCTCTGTTGGCATTTGTTGTCTCCTCAGTGGACAAATATGCAGAGGTGGCCATCTTTTGTAGTCAATAAAATCATTTCTCAGAAGATTCCCTTATAATTAACTGAAAGAGAGTAAAGAATATTGAAAGAGTATAGCATTTGCTAATTTTATGTCCCTGTAATCTAAAATTTGGTAGAATATAGTTTTAGCTTGCTCTGTCCATCTGTTTGTTAGTTTTCAAAAATTTTAACATTGCCCATAAGACTAGATTGGTTTGATCTATGGCTCTTATATTTTACATATGTTTATCCCTTGTAACAAGATCAAAATATTTGACTTTTTGTTCATGACCTTATCCTTAGAGTTTGACACAATTTTGCAAGAATTTACCTATTTAACTAGCTGCAGATCTGTAGCTCTGCTCTCCGAAAAAATATATTGATAGACCGGAGAGCTACAGTGCCACCCATTGAAAAAATCTGTATATTTAATGCGCACAAAAAAGTGCGCTCGGTTCTTGATTAATTCTTCCAAATTCTTACCTTAATTGCAAAAAAAGGAAGATTTTAAACATTCTTTTCTCCTCTATCAAGCACTCTCGTAGTTGACATCTGAACGTAGCATATTGGACCGATTTATCCTTGAAACAAAAATAGTGCTCGATATCAGTATAAACTAGAGGTACTGTGAGCAATGAGCTCACTAAATGATACCCCCCGCCTCCCATAATGTCCATGTGTTGCTATATATTGTTTTACAGTAATGTGTAAAGAGGAATAACTCGTCCAGAAGCTTCTATACATATGACGTCATAGGTAAAGATATAATGGCAATGTCCATGTTTTTGCTATGGGAAACCTAAAATACGTGTGGAATAAAAAAGTAAAATAGGAGGTGCACAATGGCAATATATAATAAAGATTCTGTGAAAGTTTCATTAAATTTCACTCAGTAGTGTAAGAGGAGTTGCGGATAAGAGATAAAGCGTAACAGACGGACGGACAGACGGACGGACGTACAGACAGACGGAAGGACGGACGGAAATCCCGATTACTATATACCCCCACTTTTCAAGCGGGGGGTATAATAAGCGAAATGTTCTATGATTACAATATTAGGATCAGGAGGACTATTAACAACAATTATAAGGAATTTTTGGTTGTGGAAACAGTGAAAGAATACGTTAGGAACACACGGTTAGTAATGTTTTGAGATCACAGTTTAAAAACATTGAGAAATAAATCGAGAACCGAGCACGCTTTATAGTGCGCAATAAATATACAATTTTTTTAATGGGTGGCACTGTAGCTCTCCAGTCTATCAATATATTTTTTCAGAGAGCTACAGATCTGCAGCTACTATTTAACAGACACACAGATAGGGCAATAACTATAATACTATTTATATACCCACAAAATCTCTTACTACGGATTAAACAGTCATAAGGATTCTGAGTGTAGACTGTTAAAGCCAAAATTCAATCACCTAAAATACCAGGAGCAGTTAAATATTTTAAATAACATATTTTCGTATCTTAATTTTTATACCAGTCTAGACGAACTCCAAAAACGGCGTGAACTCCAAAAAAGAAGTCTTTGGCTCCGTCATGCATTGCGGCAAAATGGCTTCCGATGTAAACAAACGATGGATTGTCGTTCGCTTTCTCCACAAATACGACTGAATAATGGCTGTATTTAGTAAATTGTGACTGGATTTCAATTTTTGTTGAATAAATAATTGTACCCATTAAATTATTCAGTGGTTTTTGGCTTATTTATCGCTCTGTATTCTTGCATAATAGTGATTTGGGATATACGTCCGACACCGGGATTCAATAAAGTCGGTAAGAATTAATTTTGTAACTTTATTTATTGTCCCGTTGATTTAAATCTGATGCCATTCATACTATAAAGATGCTTAAATTTTATTTCTAAGACACTTAATTATATATCGTATTTTTTTTTTTATGAAAAACCGCACAACTTTGGCGGCAGAGCAGAGATATTTACAGGTTCGATTTGAAAAGACTTTTAAACCGTAATTTAAAAGAATGATTTTTTAGTTCACTCATAGATTATAATTCTAAAAATGTTTTCATGATTATATCTATTCATATGTGAAAACATTTGGTATATAGCGATGGTGATAACATTTCTTGAAAACTTTCTTCAAAAAAGCCAAGGAGGAAATGTGGAAACTGAATTGATTCTCATGTAACTGTCACCTGATCGACTCTTATTTATGATTAAAATCATCAATTCAGTACTTTTTTAATTATTGGTAAGATGTATTTACAATGCAGTTGCTCATTGGTGATCTAAACATGCTGAAATTCATTCGTACACGATAAACATGAAAAACAGAGGAAATTCGAACTGAAAATTCGCCAGCGTTCCTTACTTACAAAATAAACTTCTAAAATCAGTAAAAGTAGTTCTAAAATGACTAACTTAGTCACTACAAACAAATTTTCAACCACAGAGATGTTTTCGTAAGATAACGACTGTTTAATTTGTATTTTGTATCCTAGTTATACGATGTCTGACTGAACCTCGAAGTTGGTCAACTTTGACTTGAAATTAAAAACTATTTGCACATGAAATCAAAAGTCTAACAAATACGTTCTCTAAAACCATTTATTATTAATCATTTCTGAGTACTTACATTATTGTAAGGTAATCCAATTTTTTGCGAAAGCACTTTTTGTAAGAGCCCACTTTTCACGACTTTTCACTGTGTTTTGATATAACTGCGCATGCGCGGGACTCTTTTTTCGGAGTCTTTTCTAGACTGAAATTCTCACTTCCGTTAACGCCGTTTTTGGAGTTCGTCTAGACTGTATACATGGCGCATATATGTGAGCTTAAAAATAATAAAAATAAGAAAATTTAAGTGTAGAGACACATGATATTTGTTATCTATATGACTGTATGTCACTATGTGATCAACATATTGAATTAAGAAAAAGATCTTACTCGTATCAATAATTACCATGCTTATTAAATTTAAAAGTAATTTTACAAATGAAAACCTTTTATCCTTCTTTCAGTTTCACGCATGAATGAATTTAACATCAATCCCACTTGCATAATCATTATATCATGCCGATCCCGATGCAAAATGTGGTGGTGTTTTGCAAATGGTAGATCCAGGCTTTCTCGACAAACAATATTTTTGAAATTAATTTTTGCCAAAAAATGTTTCCCATTGCGGCTTCAACCCCCCCCCCTTTTTTTTTTTTTTTTTTTTACAAAAAAGCACTGAAAGCCTAAAATTTGGCGAAAATCTGTGGATTCCTATCAATCACGTTCATATATTTACATGAAAAGTGGAAGTGTATAGATCGAGTGTGAATCCGGGGGTGCAAGATGTTTCGGGACCACGACGTTTCGGGACCTGACAAATACGACGTTTCGGGACTAGCGACAAGACGGTTCGGGACTTGGGTAAAGACGATTCGGGACTTGTGTTAATTTTTTTTCGGGATCTCAACAAATTATTTTATTATGGTGATATTATACAATTATTGCTGTTTTTGAGGTCAATACAATGATTTAGCCATCTGAGGAGTACAATATTCACCGAGCCCGAAGGGCGAGGTGAATATATTGTACTTCGAAGTAGTATTTTTCTAACATAGTTGGATCTCAGCCAATCAGAGGGATGGAAATTATTCAATCATATAATAAAGCATGTTATTCTAAGTACACCATATACGTAATATTTCAAGCTAAATCTGAATTTTAATATTTATAATAAAAATTGTCATAAAGATATACTTTGATGTGTTTTTTTTTTCTATAACAGATGAATAAGAATAAATCTTTTACAAAATTCATTTTTATTTCTAAAAATCTTATCAAATTTTTTTATTAGTTATTTTTTCTTGAGTGTGTGGTAAGGGGGGGGGCAAACTTTAAGCTTCTCAGGTTGATGATATATATTTTAAAAATATGAAAGTGATTTCCAGCTACCGTTTTATATCTTTAAAAAATATGTCAGTAAATTGTTAAAACAACAACTAAGGTCAGGTGTTGGTGTTACGTACATGTATAAAAACACCGCCGGTAAATGGCAACTAAAAAGATTGTATGGTTTCTTTTGAAATTATTTTAAGAAAATAAAATTCTAAGAATATGGAAAAAATATCGTTTTCTTTATTGGTAAATGAAATAATTTAGAATCAAACAATATTTATAAAATAGTAATGGTTTTCCCATCATCAAAAGTTTAACAAAATATAAAGGTTTTCAATATGTTTTGAACTTGATTTTGTCTATTTTTTTCCCATACGGTTTCAAATATTTTTTTTATCAAAAAATGTTTCCAAAACATTGTCAACGATCATAGGCAGTTATGCCTGCTGTTCAATCCATTTCTATGAATAAATATATTTTAAACTAAACACTGTAAATAAACATATTTTACAAATGTTGCGAGAACATTTTTCCTAGATTTAACAAAAAAATGCCATACTTTAAAAAGCATTTAATGGTATAAACACCATGATTTCATTTGATATCGTTTCAAATATTGTCTTTAAAAACATTCTAAACTTCATCATAGCTTTATCTATTTAATATGTTTAGGTGGAAATTTGAAATTTAAGTTGACCTGTTAACGTTGTCATTTTTAAAAAAAAAAAAAAATCTGGAATGTCTTTTAAATACTTTTACAACGTACAAGTAACATGAAAAATTTAATATTTGCAAATTAGATAATATTTAGTATTTATTTACAGTATCATTAACAGTGTGTCATGTGCCTAATTATGTAACACCACATAATATTACGCACGGGTATCTACATCGATAATTGAGTTTCATTTAGATTTGTAGTCTGTGTATACACAGTAAACATAAATTCAGGCGTATCCATATCATTGTAGACAAATTAACAATTTTGATAGTACAATAATAGCACAGTAATATGTAACGGAAATATTTGGGACTTTCGAAAGATTAATTTTTTAAAAATAATAATTATAAATTCTATAACCGCCCGTTTTTAGTGTCTATTTCTCCACTTTGGCGATTACTAGGGAATTAGCTCAACACTCGCAATATTTTCCACATTTATTAAAGTTCATAGAACATAAAACAACAATCTGGGAT